TGCCTTCTCTACAGCTAAAGCCGTTTTACGTAACAGAAGTCGTCAGAAAGACGGTCCCATCTCATTCGTATGTTTTCCTCCCTCTGAGCGACAGCTTGCTTCTCTTTAAAAACCCACAAATCCCACCCAAATTATACAGTAGCCAATAAATGCCCAAGGAGTACGTTCATTGCCTGCCCTTTACTGTATTTTGTTCCATCTCGTTTCATTTGGTATTGCTAATAAGCGGAGGCACTATGAATAGATCAAGAGTTAACATCCTCAACCCTCAAAATATAGAGCATACAATTTGCTCCTTCGCCCTAAAATGTTTTGTGACCCTTTCTGTAAAATTCTCACACACTCCCATGTGTTTTTAGATGTTGAATTTAAAAACTTTCCGACATAACTACGTGCATAAAAACAACAAGGGACTTCAGACGTACACATCTACAAATAAAGTGAACATGAACAAAAGACATCAAAAGAACAGCACCAAATCGCTCACCTAAGGCTAGTTTCCGACCGATTTACTCTGAGAGGGGGCAGGCGAATGGGCAAACTGTGCGCCAACGTCTGTGGACAGATTTGCCTGGAGGCATACACTCTGGTCAATACTCGATCACAGCGAGCAGAAGAATGGCGCGTTTAACTTTTTTTTTCGGCATGCACACGGACACGCACGGAGTAAACCTGCGCACTATCGAGTTGGTGGACATGTAGCGAACTCGAGCGCAACACTTGAGCCTAATTAAACGCCAACGCGGGGTGAATGGTGTTTTTACTGCCTGGACTGGACTGCCTGTGCACTGCCCCTGCCCACGTGATCTGAGCACGAAATAAGTGCCTACAAACCCATAAACTCGGCTACTGATCAGGGAAGGTGTAGGGGCAGCAAGGATTGGACAAATCCCCTTAATGACCTTGAGCGAAAACGCAAACGGCAACACAGCAATGTTCAGTTTCTTTGTGAGGGTAGCTGGTATGTCACATCAAGTGTAATTTATTTTACAGAACTTCAGCTAAAAGTGTTATGATTACAAGCGTGTAAAGGAGAAATGGGTCAAGCACGGGAACAGTTTTTTTTATTGTCCTGAGCTTTCAAACTCGCACAGGAGTTCATCGTCATAGGTAGCAGAGGTAGTAATAAAATGCGAAAATTATTGGGGGTGCATGCTAAACAATGACGCAGCCGGCTTATGGTCGCGTGTGCGCGACAAGAGTGTGCGTTCAGGTTGACCTATATCGTTGCAGGGGTAGCTTAGGCACAGGATGCGATACAATACTCCAGCTTACTCTTTTGAATTCAGTGGGTCTTTGATGCTCATCAACCTGCTGCGCATGGTAGCGTTCAAATTAAATGGTGGAAAGCACAGTTATCTTCCGGTCATTATAACCGCAGGGGTAATTACGTTTAGAGGTTCCCGGGGCCTACCTCTTGTCAGCAGTGGACTTCAGCACTTATAAGTCTTTTCTGCATAAAGCCTTACAGATAATCATTGTATGCACAGGGCAGTGCAGGAACTCAAACCTCCTGGTATGTTTTGTGCTTCTCCGTGCCTCCTTACCAGGTTAAAGCTGCACTTGAGATTAGTGAAAATCAGTTAGTAAACACATCCAAA